AAAAAAAAAAGGTCAGGCACGATTAAATATCCAATATCGGCCAATACTAAACCATCAATATCAAAGCATCACATCTCCACTCACCAGCCATCTCCCGCTTCCGCAGATATTTCTTCGCTCACATCTGGTTGGAAAAGGAGGTGGGTGCCCCCTGCTGGTCATATCCTCCCTGACCGTAGTCTCCACCCTGATTGTAGCCTTGCTGGCTGTAATCGGGCTGGTAGCCACCCTGGGAGCCGGTGTACGGGTCCCGCTGCTCATAACCTCCCTGCCCGTAGGAATCAGGGGCGGGCTGCTTCTCTTGGGCAGGCTGTTGACGCATAAATGGTGCGATGATCCCAGTCTCCTTGAATACAAACCACAGGTTACCCGTCCACAAGATCAGGTTGAGGAAGCCAAAGACCTGGAGAGAAAAATAAATAAAAATAAAGTTAATTCAATTAAAAAGTTTGTTCTAATCTCAAGAGACATTAGAAGAACTGCATAGAAATGTATTTTTTATCAATAAGGGAATTTCCTGTTCGGCCAAGCAGAACTGACTCACCACAGAAGTATTAAGACCAGACATGACGGGGTCGTAAACTTCACGGCAGCGGTTGCCTTCCTGTTCACAAGCGGGGATAAGATCTTGGACCTTCTCTGGGTCTGTAGCTGTCTTGACATCAGACAAACCCTTTGCCCATGCTGCCGAGCTCACCAGCCACATGAAGGTGAATACACATGTCACACCAAAATCCTGCAATGATATTATTTATTTAGAATTATATGTAAATATATAGGCTTGTGTTGTATGAAACACTGAGCTGCTACAGTATGTCAATAATTCAACCAAAATTCTTTATTTACTCACCCTCATGTCATTACAAAAACCCCATGCTAATTATTTTTATTATTAGTTCATAGTGACCAGGGGCCAATAAGTGGTCCATATCAAGGCCATAACCATGTCTTGAAGATTTTTAGAATAGAACAGAACAGTGAAGGAAATGCTAAGTCTAATTCTAGTATGGAAGCAATCATTTTGTAATATTTTAAAATACACACTCACTCTTATTTGTATGCCTTAATATGTCAAAAACACATTTCTGCTCTCATCACATTCAGTTAGGAATATCATGCATCGTGTAAATTATATCATATCTTCAATTCAAAACTGCCACGTTTGTTAAAAAAAAAAAGTTGAGTAGTTTGCATCGCTAGATATTACCATTGGTTGTTTAACATTTCTGTTGTAAAACAGTTGTCAAATATTTAATGTTTTACTACTTCCATCTTAATCTTGCTCTCTTGCCTGCTTACTTTGATTTGATTGGCCATCTCAATCATTTTGACAATGACAAGCACTGTTAGGTCGCTGAGGCAGACCAGCCTAAAAATTAAATTTTCAAACCTTTTTATTCTAAATAAACAGAGTGCAAGAATTTCAAATATTTGGGGGGACAATTTGGCCATTTCTAATTATACAAGGTCTATGGTAATATAGGGTGAGTAAATAATAGCAGATTTGTAGTTTTTGGGTGAACCAAGCTTTTAACAAACTGTTAGTGCTCATGTATCATTGAAGAAAACTCACAATCAGTGGTCCTTTATTGTTCTCACGGTACTTCTCAAAGGCAAAGATATAGATGCTGAGAGCTGCCATGGAATACAGGAATGCAAAAACGCCTATGGTGACAAAGAACTCTGCTGAGGATGAGTAATCCCCAACCAGGAAGAAGCGGTCATTTTGGCCGTTCTTGCAGGCGGGGGCATCAAAATACACTTGATGAAGCCTGGAGGAGATACAGGGGAACAGGGTTACTGAGAGAACCGTAATACCTTCAACGTTGGACATCTCAGCACATTTACAATTTTAACCTAATTTAGAGTGATTATACCACATCTCAGTGGGCTAGAGAAACAGTTCAGCTTGGATTATGAACCAAAAGGAAAAGGAGAAATTACATATTTAGTGTACTTGGGATCGCAAACAATCGCCCAGAAGCACTAGAATTTAATAAAACAGGTTTCAAAATGTGGTTCCAAGAAAAATACTATATATTTTATTAATAATAAAAAAATAGTGTGGGGGGGGGGCTGGGGGGCTTTGGCATTTCATAATTTGAAAACCCTGCCAAGTAAAACACCAGAGGGTTTGTAGGGTAGAGTGGGGGGAGACGCCCCCCTTAACAAAAGTTAAATGTCTCCAGAATAGTTATCATAGTTTTAATGACAATGACATAAATTATAAATCAAGTATGAAAAATGTCCAGAGTTTTCATGTTATTAGATTTTTAACAAAAATTTAATTTGTACCAAGGGAGCGTTTTGGGTAAAATGCCCCCAGTCTGACAAAGCAATTTGTTTAATACATTTACAGCAAAATCAGAGTACAGGCAGTTTTAGCATAACATTAAAAAGAATATAATCAATAATTATGAATTACAAAATTATAATAGCCTATTTGAAAAATATTGTTAGCCGATGATAACTGGCTAGCTAACTAGCTACCTGATGCTAACTTGAGGTAATTGTTAAATTTATTCAACCAACTAGTTAAAATACATATGATGGAAAAACAAAGGATCTGATGTTCAGAACAGAGTAACTACAGCAATTAAGCCATGTCCTCTGGGGGCATTTTACCCCATAGACTATGTTTGAAAAAAAAATGTAATTCTGAAAATATAATTATATTTTTCTTAAATAGCACGTACTCCCTATCTACAGGCCTTACTATTCTCATATCATATATACTGTGGTTATAGAAAAGAATCACCACCCTTTAAAATAATCACATTTTGTTGCTTTGCAGCCTGAAATGGAGGCAGACAGAGTTTTTGTTTTATCCAGCTGTATTTACTCAGTGCAACTTATCTTCCAATTGAAAGATATAACAGCAACATGTCATAAAAAAACAAAAAAACAGAATCAATGAGTTGGAAAAAGGATGACCTTCCTCCTAAATGACTCAATCAGGTGTAGCTTATCACCTTCTCAATGGCACACAAAACCATTTGACTTTCAGCTGTGATGAGCTGTGGTCATTTTGATTAGCTCAGCATGAAAAGAGCTCTCCTGGAGTATGTCAGTCCTTGGTAGTGCAACTGAAGCAAACAATCAACTATGGGTGGTAAGACACTGTCAAAAGATCTCCGGGATAAAGTTGTGGACAGGCACAAGTCAGGAGATGGATGCAAAAAAAATTAAAAGACTTTATCAATGCCTAGAAGCACAGTGAAGTCTATTAGTGTATTAAGAAGTGGAAGGTATTTGGTACAACACAGACCCTCCCTGTATCAGGACGTCACTCCAAACTGGATGAAAGAGCCAGGAGGAAACTGGTCAGAGAGGCTACCAAGAGGCCTACAGCAACTCTGAAGCAGAGAAGAAAATCTGCTGCCCTTTGCCAGAAAGTTGCCAATGGGAAGAAGGTTTACCTTCCAACATGACAATGACCCAAAGCACACAGCGTTTGGGCATAGATAGATAGATAGATAGATAGATATACATAGCTATAGATATATATATATATACATTATATATTATGTATATTCATTGATGAATAGAAAGAATAGTATTTATTTTAAATGCAGTCTTTTATTAACAATGTAAAAGTCTTTACTATCAGTTTTGATCAACTTAATGCATCCATGTTGAATAAAATTATTCATTTCTAGTAGTGCCATTACACTGATTTAATCAATTTACCTCATTTGATATTAGAACAGTTTTATTCTGTTCTGTTTGATTTCAGGTGCAGTATTCAATTCATTCAAAAGATTATATCACCCAAACCTACAATTTAAAATGTTAACATTTAATAAACACTCTGTCATTTAAAGAATCACCACCCTTTAAAATAATCACATTTTGTTGCTTTGCAGCCTGAAATGGAGGCAGACAGAGTTTTTGTTTTATCCAGCTGTATTTACTCAGTGCAACTTATCTTCCAATTGAAAGATATAACAGCAACATGTCATAAAAAAACAAAAAAACAGAATCAATGAGTTGGAAAAAGGATGACCTTCCTCCTAAATGACTCAATCAGGTGTAGCTTATCACCTTCTCAATGGCACACAAAACCATTTGACTTTCAGCTGTGATGAGCTGTGGTCTAAGAAATAATGGATGGGGCAAAATACCATCAAATTCTTGAGGAAAATCTGCTGCTTGCCAATGGGAAGAAGGTTTACCTTCCAACATGACAATGACCCAAAACACACAGCAAAACTGAGCACACAGTGGTTGAAGGAGAAAAAGGTGAATGTCCTTGCATGACTGCTACTACTACTGTAGTCAGAGCCCAGACTTAAACCCCATTGAAAATCTGTGGAATGACTTGAAGACTGTAGACCACAAACAGTCTCCATCAAATTTAACTGAAATTGAGCAGTTCTGCAAAGAAGAGTGCAGTTCTTTGCAAATATTGCAGTCTAGATGTGCACAGTTGCTGTAATTAGTGGTTCAACAAAATACTGACACAAGGGGGGTGATCCTTTTTCCTGATTCTGATTTTTTTGATTTTTTTCTGTTGGTGTTATATCTTTCACTTGGATGTTATAAGTTGCACTGAATAAATACAGCTGGATAAAACAAAAACTGTGTCCGTCTTCATTTCAGGCTGCAAAGCAACAAAATGTGATTATTTTAAAGG